TGTATTTTCTTTAAGTATTTGCTTTGAAAATATCGTTTTTCCCCACTTGCCATTTATAATAAACAGTCAAAATTATATTCCGCTTCCCATGGGAAATTCAGTTCCTTCCATTGTATGAGCACAGCCTCTTATTGTTAGGTTATTCAGGAGTACAAGGCTGTTGGAATGGTTTTGTTTTGCCTTCAGTGAAAGAGCAGCAGCACATTTTGTCCTGACAAACATTGCCCATCCTTACATTGGCAAAGAGGAAGGATCTGGCAGCAGATTTCACTGCAAAATGGCACAATGTACATGGACCTAAATCCTGGATGTAAAATTCCCAATATTGTGTGGCCTTCTCTGACTTCCTGACCTCAGCAGTGGCCCAGCAATCAAATGATTATGATTTAAACTTTGTAAGTGTTTAACATACTGTAAACAAAATAGACAAAGTGAGTTTTTATTTTTAGCTTTGACAGAAATATGTTGATGAGCAAGAAAGCCTGTGTGATATCAGTAATAGTGTTTATTTTTAAAAGGATTTTTAAAAAACATTGCCTGATCTGTGGTTAAAAGATAACTGAGAAAAACTTATCGATGATCTTCCTGTGATTTCTTAACTTTCCTCTTTTCACCTCCAAGTCACTGTACATCGTAGCTTGATTTGTAGGTCCAACTACGTCTGACCACATATTTGTGGGCAAGCTCAATGAAATCTTGTTTTTTCTCTTTAAAGAAAAATAAATGGTAGAATCCTGCTGATGCTGTCTTCATACAGCTGGTATGTTTGTACTTTATAGGAGAGGGAGCAATAACAAAGAGTATTACTCCTGTGACTCATAGGGATCATGGCAGTTTCAGACTTCAGTGAGACAGGTGCTACCAATGACCGTCAGGATTGAAAAGGACTTTCTGGTGATTTAATTATACATCATTAAGGAAGGCTGCATAACCCTGCACAGAGCAAAGCTGGTATGCTCATGTAACCTCATCCTGCACATATCTTTGCATGATGATGTTCATTAGCACAAGAACACTTAGGGATGACTTCCCTCTTGTAAGTTACACGGAGTGAGTAGAGAATGTGTGATAAAGGTAGAATTGCTAGTAAATGTTCAAGGAATGTCAGTGGTGCTATGGTCAGGGTGCTATGCAGTATGCTTAGGGTTAATGCAGCTCAGTCGGCTTCGAGCCCACTGCCTGTGCCACGATCCAGCAGAGCAGAGCTCTCTGCTATTGGCTGAGGGCAGGGGAGGGAGGCAGAGGAGAAAATCCACCGCTTAATTTAGGCAGTGACGAATGGGTTGCTGTGCAGGATGTTTCACTCCTGCATGTCTGGGGTGATGCAGATGCTAAAAAGGGAAATGCGTTTTCTCATTGCATCTTCACAAGCAAGGTGTTGTGGATGGCAGCTCACCCTGGCTTGCATCTTCTAATGAGGCTGCTTAAGGTGGCTGCAGGGTGGAGTTCTTAATTGTACATAATATTAGTGTCATGCTGCTTTCCCTTGTCCTGTCCCCCCACTTTTCCCTGCTTTTGGGATGGCTGACTCCACGTTCAGCTACAGCTCTTTTGTCTTTCTTGTCATTTGCTGTTGTATCTGGACACGTAAAACAGCTCAGAAGGGTGTCATATTTGATTCTAGAGCAGAAGTAGCTTAAATATGTGAGGGCATTTCCCCAGATTGAACAGGCCTAGTCAGAGTACAGGAAAGGCACAACAAGTTGTTCACTATCTGGCAGGGAGCTGTTCAGGAGGTTTTTGCTTTGCTGAAAAATGATGCTGTCAGCTAATGCTCATATGAGAGAGGGTAAATTCATCTTTTCTGCACAATATCTGAGCAAGAGGGCATTGCCTGTGGAGGCTACAAGGGAGGGACTTGCAGCTGTTGGTGCCTCAGGCATCCACTGCACGTATCAGCATATGTGTTACTTCACATTTCTTAGGAGAATTAGTGCTGTGGACTGTTCGATCTTAAATATTCCTTCAGCTGAAACAGAATTCCACATATTGCTTTTGTGGTATGCTTTTCTTTATATCCTAAATACTCACTCATGCATTTTAAGCAGTACCTTGCAGTTCCCCTCTCCTCTGCACTAAGTTGGCCCAGCTGGATGGGTAGCTGTGTAGTGAATGGCAGCAGTGAACAACGTGGGTTATATGACTAAAAAAGAGCTGAGCAGAGGTTGGGGCTACAGGGGCACAGTCTGTTCAACCCAGGTGAGAAGCCAGAGACAGAACCATGCTGGAAACCATTGAACAAAATTTTGAGGGAGGGTTTTCAGATTTTTGTATACAGGTTTGGCCTGACATATGGTTGTGGAACCTCACGGTTGTCTTACCTCACAGGCCTTTTGTTTGAGGCATAAACTGGTTACAGGCTAATGCAGGTTGTGCCTAGTGTGATACTGAGACCCTGCCTGCATGTGCTTTGTGCTGATGACATTCAGCCAAAGGCTTTAATATGCTTCATGCAAGCTCAGGGTCGTAAATGGCTCTTATTTGTAGAATTTGGATTAATAAATGGGCTTTTCTTTGCCCAACCCTGCTTTATTTGCTCTCTATTTTGGGAGATAATAATTGCTAGCTTCTCACCCACATACTGTTCTGCGAGAATTAAAATCAGGTTTAGTTAAAAGTCATTTCAGCCTAATAAGACTACACAGTTTGCTTGCTTTGATTTTAGGCATTCATTATGTCAGCAACTGGAAATAATGATATTCACTTACTCTTTCTGGGTTCCTTAAGGTGTTTTGCAAAAGTAAGTAAATGTCATTATTGCTATTGAATAGTAAAAACATACAGTCAGCCCCTGGTATCACACATGAATGTAGGAGCTGTCAGTTGGGAAACACCACCTCTGGCTTTCAAGAAGCAAATAAACAGGCCGACATAGTTCATGGATCTCTCTGTCCTCCATGTTACTGCTGTTTCTACCAGTAAAGATTGATAACGGGCTGGGTAGGCCTGCTATAGGGCAGTTCTTATATTCTGACCACGTCAGAAATATAGTGAAACAAAGTGCTTTGAAAATCTATTCCTTGGTTCCATATCTGTGAAATTTCAGCTTTGCAAAGCTTTTTTGGATAAAGCTGAAAAAAAGCATGGAAAATACAGCAGATTTTTGGAGGGATTATTATACCAGGAATGTATCACGGTTTGGCAAGAGCGTAGGTCAGGAATGTGGAAGCTGGCACAGCAGGGAGAAGCAGTTGTGCTAGGAAGCTGAGAAACTGGCTGTTTAAAGCTGCAATTCAGCACCCACTGAGATTAGGGGGAGTTCTTATTTATTGACACAGTTTATAGATAAATGGCACGTTTTCAAGCTGGAAGGAACCCCAAGAAGTAATGTTGTATTCTTCCCAAACCATAGCAAGATTAGTGTACCAAGGGCATGCAGACAGATGTTTACTTGGCTTCCCTCTCAGCCTTGTGCTGTAAACTTCAGAGCCTTTCTTGCTGACCTGTTCTAGACTTTGCTGTCGATATGTAGTAGCACGAAGCCTTGAGCTGGCGTGTAAGAGCAGAGGGATCCATTCTATGCTGTCAGTCCTTGTCATTGCATGGTTTCAATTTGTAACATTTGTCCTCTAGAGCAAAGCCCTGGGATTAGACCACTTCTGGTTGCTTTTCAAGTTCAAGTCATGTCATTGGTCCCTGATTTGCTCTTTGTTACAAGATATCATGGTGCTTGAGCCCTTATTCTTCAAGGATTTGAGGAGATGAAGAATACTGATAGACAATGGACAAATAGCAACCTGGTTGGCAGGAATGCCCATCATACACTTAGGGCTCTCATTGCTCATTATCCAGCAAACAAAAGTGAGGCCCTCAGTGTCAAATGGAGTGGTTCCTCTTCCTGACAGTCGTGATAATAAGCTTAGACTCACCCTTTTGCAAGGTGTGGTGTTACCTGGGCTGTAAAATCACGAGGAGATGGTGTCCAGGCTGTACCTGTTCAGTCAGCTGGAACTGGTCTTGGCTTGTGGCTATCTGTTGGTGTTTCAGGCGTGGGGAGAGAATGTTACATTCATGAAAGGGACATTGATTTTGAGATAATAAAATACAAGAAAAGCTTTGTTCCAGGCTGTCTCCTCTGTAGCTGCCAAGCATGTCTCAGTTGATGGGCATTCCCTTTCTGCTTCACTGCTCTTGCAGGCCTTCCCTCCATCCCCTAGCACAGTGCCTGCAATTCAGTGCTGCTTCCCTCATCAGTCTCTTCAGATCTGACCAGGAGATCTCTGAGTATCTTATATCTGAATGGAGAGGAATGGGAGCTCGGGGCTGAAGCAGCTTTGTGATGTGACGTGAGAGATAGTGGCATCCTCAGGGATGGAGGGCATTTGCTGGCTCTGGGCTTCAGGTTTGCTGTCTGCCTTCAAGTTGTCTTCCTGAATCACAGAGAAAACTGAGCTTTGACTGCCAGGTCCCTGAGTGAGAGTCCTTGTGCCTATTAAAGACTATGAGAGCTGCTGTCTTCCACACCTGCTGGTGGATCACAATATGCCCTGTCATACAGCATTTAGTGTGGTCATACTGCTGTCACCATCACCTCAGTCCCTTGCTAAAAAAACCACTCTGCCTGTTCCCTGGCCGGGATGTGCCACCACTCACTGTCGGGACAGACGTGTGGGCTTTGCTGCCACCCAACGGGGAGTGCAGGGCTCCCTTCCCAGCACCGCTGAAGCAGTGTGGATCTGAAAAAAACTGATTCCTCTAGAAGGTATTTTTCTAAGTGGTGCTTTATGTAGCTGCTTCCCAGCAAAATCTGAGGTTTGTCCTGAGCTTACCTGGCAGTCATTGAAACACAGCATGAAAAACAGAAGAGAGACTTTCTGTCCTGTGCTGACTGTCTGTACTGAAAAAGACTACAAGACCTGGCAGACTCTGAGGAGAGGAAGATGTTTGCGTAGCCATGGAATTTTCCTCTTTGCTTCCCAACTGTAGCAATTGCTGTGTGGTTAATGAAGATCAATGAACCAGATAACTGACAACAAATGCAATTGTTTGTTTATTTGCAGATTGTGCTGGCTGTGGAAGAGACATAAAAAATGGACAAGCATTGCTAGCTCTCGATAAGCAGTGGCACCTGGGGTGCTTTAAGTGCAAGGCCTGTGGGAAGGTCCTGACTGGGGAATACATCAGCAAGTAAGTAGCCTCTGCATCTCTCCTGCACTCTTGGCATGAGTTCTTGTTGCTGGAGGGAGAGAGGTTCCAGCAAAGTTCACCCTTCAGAATCCAGTTTTGATTAACTTTTCATATGCACCAAAATCTTTGCTCTCAATTGGAGCTAAGTTGGAAAGAGAAAGTATACTGGAAAGGAACAGCTGGAAGGTGGTGATACTCTGTATTTAACACCAGTACCGAAGGGAGTGTACCTCCACATTGCCATAAGGGGTTGAGGGAACTCCTACATGTGTTTTCTGTGTTAGCTGGATACAGCTTTGTTCTATTTTACTTTTCAACTTTGATGTTGAGGAAAAAAGTAGGAACCTGCCCACTGTTTTCTTTTGCTTGGAAGAGAGTAAATATGATGATGTGATTGACCTGCACTGTTTCTCAACACAAATAAGCAGCTGCTTACTCTTTGCATACTACCAGATTTCTTTGCTAAATGGTTTCCACTCGTCCCCATAGGCAGAGTTCCACAGATGTCTCTGGAATTGTACCACCTATAGCTTTAGTTTGGAACAGGTTGCCCAGAGAGGTTGTGGATGCCCCATCCCTGGAGGCATTTAAGGCCAGACTGGATGTGGCTCTGAGCAGCCTGGTCTGGTGGATGGTGACTCTGCCCATGATGGGGGGATTGAAACGAGGTGATTATTGTGGTTCTTTTCAACCCAGGCCATTCTATGATTTAGAAAGACTATTGTTAAGATGAAATTTACTTCAGTGGTTTGTGCTTTGTCTTTCTGAGGTGGAAACTTAAGGGATAGTTATAAATCAATGGTGAGAATATAATTTTTCTTCTTTCTTTTGCTACAACATACATCTTTGGAAATCTCTCCTATTTGGCTGTTGCAATTTGTAAGAATGCCAATGAAGACAAGGCAAGAAACTAAGTCATGCTGTAACCTGTTTATTAAAAGTGGTTTATACTTTGTGGTTTTTCTTTTTTCAGAGATGGTGCTCCTTATTGTGAAAAGGACTATCAGGTTCTTTTTGGAGTCAAGTGTGAAGCATGTCACCAATTCATTACTGGGAAAGTACTAGAGGTAAGTGCTTTGTAAACTGGAGTTTAAGATTTTTGGCCACATCCCATTATGTCTTCACACAACTGCAAAGAATGCAAAAACTTCTCCTAGGAAAGTTTTACTGCTGATTTTAGAGTAAAGGTACTCACTTTCAGAAACATTTTTATGTATCTTTTGTTGACTTTCAGTTCGAGACATCAGTGTTCTCTTTGCATCTGGCCAAATCACTTTAGAGTTGTATATCTTATGTTGTCACTACTGTCTCCCATGGCTGTGACTAGTCCTTGTGAGATGGAATCCTTGAACTATGCACGGATCCCTTCATGTCATCACAAAAATATTTAATGAACAAAAATGCATGGGTCTTTCCTTGTGCTGTTATCATTGAGATGAGAGAAGCAAAACTGCTGCCTCTTTTCCACACAGGATACCATATTCAGTGGAAAGAACCTGACCTTCAGGCTTACGTCTGGAGCTGGGCTTGTATAGCTTAGTTGCTACTTTAGTGATGTTTAATACTCAGCCCTCCTTCCCTGGGGTAAAAACAAACCCCACATGCACATAAACACAATTCCCTTTACATAATAAAGTAAGTTGAAGAAATGTGAGAAGCAGGAAGAACTTCAGTTACAGGTGTATTTTTTTGAAGAAGAAACTGGATTTATTTATTAGGGAATAACGAAAAATAGTGAGAGAGTTACTGAAATAAAAGCAGCTGTCATTTGCTCTTGAGGGTGCATTGCACGTTCCTGTCTTTGTCTACTAGAAGTGTAAGGCTGTATCAGCCCTCATCAAAAAAGTTTCAGTTTTGTTGTGGAGTGGTAACAGCTTGACTTTCTAGGAGGTTTCAGAATATTAAGCAGGCTGGCTGCCCCCAAATGAAACATTGAGAGCTGCCCCCAAATGAAACACTGAGAGCTGCCCCCAAATGAAACACTGAGAGCGTGCCCAGTGCAGCTGTCGCTGCTTCCACTGAGAGGGAATAGAGTTTTTCAGTTAGCCATGCTCTCAGTCTGCCTCCTTTGCAACATGCACTTAATTCTTTTAGACTCACACAGATAAGTAATGAGAACAGTCTGAGCTTTCCCTTGAGTAGAAATGCCATGTCTCTGGTTTTTATCTGGAGGTCTACTACCATCTGCTTATCTATTCCCATCTACTGATGAGTTTTTCAGTTTAGTATTATGAATTGGTGACAGTGTAGTTGGAGTAGGAGGCACTGCTGGAGAGAAGTAATTAGATTTGTGAGACTGGGAAGCATAAAATAATTCTAAAATAACTTCAGATGCTATTCCTGCTGTTATTGTATTACTCGGAACTTATCCAATCTGTTGCTCAAAGCAGTGCTGTCTACTTAGAAGCATGGAGATGAAAATAATGAAGTGGAAGATTCTCTGAGTCTGTGGAGAGCTCTGAAAAAATGAGCCTTTGTGGTATGGATGTGAATATAGAAAAGTTGCATTCCTGTTGCTCTTTTTAATATCAATGAGAATGAAACCTAGCTTTCTGAAAGGATCTTGAGCTGTATCCTTTCAGAGCTGAATCAGATGAAGGTGAGAAAAGATTAGTTTAACTGAACTAGGACTCAGCTGTCCATTGTAACCTACTAAAGTTCAGGTTAACAGAGACTTTGGGTCCCATACAGAGCCTTGTTGCAGTTGTTTGGGCCAAAGTTGGTAGTTCTTTCTCTTCTGATGGCTGTTTATTGTAAGAAGAATAGACAACAGTTTGCTGAAATAGGAGTAATGGAAAAGGCATCTAACCTTATGTAAGGGTCAAAATTAGAGAAAATAGGGATTTTCCATTTGATTTAGCCTCTGCAGAATCAGAATATCTTCGTGAATTAGAAACAGACCCTTTGATGTTACAAATATATGGAAATATTAATCATGTAATCGTCTTAAGTTGTGGTTCAAGCAGAAGTTATAGTCTTACCAAAAGGTTGTGATTATCTGAGGCACAGCCCACAATAATACAGTAGAGGGCAGCAGTAGTTCTCAATATACAAGGAAGACCAAACAATGAAGCCTGTAGAAGCTGACTGACTCACATAACACAACTGTTTCTTGATATGTTTAAATGATGTTTGAAGCTGACTGCTATGTGGCAGGTGTAGACTGGGGCAAGTTCTTAAAGACTTTCACCAAAAAATTTGGTTTTCTATAGTCATGGAGGCTGTTTGGAAATTGGTTTAACTGTTAGCATGGATAGTCTGTGAATACAGGTCTCCTGGTATCGACTGGGAATGCAGGTGGGGGAGAGATGTTTAAGCACTTTTTTTCATTAGACTGCACTTGAAAAGATGCTCAGAGAATACAACTGATGTTCAATAATATGTTAATGGAACTATGGACTAGTTTCTTGGCTTCTCCTTAGAAGTCTTTTATACTGTCAAATATCACATTTTCAGAGGGGCAGTACTAATGCCTTTAAATTAGACTAAAGGTGTAGTAAGTGGAAACTTAACGGTGAGAAAATCATGTCAGCATATGTGTCCCACTGAGCAGAAAAGGTAGTTTAGAGGATAGGGTCAGTGCATGACATAAATCCTCTGGTAACGAAGGAGATGAGAGATCAGAAGCAGCCAGGGCTGCTTGTCAATCACATGTTTGTTCTGTCGGGAGGAATATATACTATTTGGTGATCTTCATCTGAAGAGATGATTTGCAGATTGGAGGGAGGTAGGTATGTGGCACATTATATGCAGACACTTCCCTCTCGTGGATCAGAAGCAATCAGCAGCATAAATTTCCCCTAAATGGAAAGTTTGTAAAAAAAAGCAGGAAAACAAAAGAAACATGAAAACATGAAACTGAGCTTTCTTTGTGGAGGCTGGTGCTATCTGCTTCTTGAGTAAGAGTTAAAAATTTTTAAAGAAAAATTGAGATGCTGTGTGACATTTCAGACTTGCAGCTCCTGGTTGCTTCTGTCCCTCGTTGTTGCTTAGCACCTCTGAAAAATCACGCCTTCAAACTTCTACACTGAGCAGTCAGTAAGGAAGACAACCACTGATGAAGATGATGTGAGCCAAAGAGACCTCATCCCAGAGGACACCTTCAGCAAACTGGTTTGGAATAGCTGATGTTTCACAGAACATAGAATTCCTTAGGCTGGAAGGGATCTTAAATCACGTTCAGTTCCAGCCTGCTGCCATGGGCGGTTGCCACCCACCAGATCAGGGCCCAGAGCCCCATCCCACCTGGCCTTGAGCACCTCCATTGGTGCAGCACCCACAGCTTCTCTGGTCAGCCTGTTCCAGTGCCTCAGGTTTGAGTTCAGGCCTTGAGAGGACAGAGTTTCTCCAGCCATTCTGTAAAAATAATTTATTTGCTCAGTTTTAAAATCCATTGCCAGAAAAACTGTCTTTTTTTTTTTTTTTTGCTTGTATCCATGTATCATGCAAGAAATTCCTTTTTTTCTGACTATTTGTGACCAATTTCAATAGCTGTAAAAATTATTATGTACATTTAAGTCAAATCAGATATTTGTCATGTTATTTTGTACGTAACTTCCTGTGACAGCTGCAAATAACAGATGAGTCTGCATGCCACCACAATGAACGTGATGAGAATTTCTCTAATGAGAAATCGGTGCTGCAACTTTCTTTGGAGTACAGATACTTAAATACTTGAAAAATTTCAGGCTACCGTTGTCAAGGCAACAGAGATCAGTGTTGTTCCTTGGTTTTTCCAGCAGAAAGAAACCTTCATTTGTAGAAAAACTACTGATTTCCTTTTAAGTACAGGGAAACACATTTATTGTCAAACAATAATGGCGTAACAGGCAGCCCTCACTATCGTTACACCTTCCACTATGCTATTGTTTTCATAGCTTCAAGGCTTGCCTATTGAAAGATGCCCATCTGATCCTAATCCTACAAATATCTGTGTAGATGGGTGAACTGCTGCATGTATTTAGCTATTTTAAAGACACCGGCTTAAATCATTTTTGTCTAATGTGTTTATCATACACAATATAATTATTCCTCCAGGGCTTGATTTAAAATATGTTAAATCACGGAGAAGCTTTCCATTGAAAGCTTCAGAGTACAGTGGATCATGCCTATATTCATGCATATCATTTGGGCTTATCTAAAGTGTTTTATGAAGCTCCTAAGTAGTTCGTAAGCTCCTTTTAGTTCTGCAGAAAGAAGACAAGGCAAAAACAGGTGAATAACTTACATGAAATCAAACAAAGCCTGAAAATGAGAATCAGATGTGCAGATTTTCACCAGTTCTCTTTTGTGAGGGTGTTCTTTTTTTTTATAGTACTGTTGTTTTTTGCTGTAAATGCTGTGTATTTATCTCATGATCGAGATATATACACCTTATATATCTTGATCATGATCAAGATATATACAACTACCATATCTACTGTCAAATCCCACAACCATCTGGCTACTCTACACATTTGTTTTTTAATGCTACTCGCTTGTTATTCATTAGCAAATATAAAACCATTTTGTGATTTTTTTCCTGGCAATGCATGGCTTGAGTTCCTGTTCTGGTGGGCTGTTTCCTGAGCCCTGCTGAAACTTGCATGCCACCTTCTAAGCAGTGGCATGATGCCATTTTAACAGATGGCCCTGAAAAGAGAAATGTCAGGGAACCAGAAATCTCCTTTGACTTCACCCTGCACAGCCAAGTTTTACGTATTTCAATACAGGTATTTATTCTGAACTTCCCCTTATTAAAAAGAGGTTGAGTATACTTAAGAGGTAGCATTTACCACGAAGGAAGCTTAGTACTTCTAGATGTTGTTGCTTTAATGTGCCAGAATTTAAAGATGTTTAATCTGTACTGCATGTAATTCAGAGATGCTAATTAGAAATTAATAATAATTTAAAAAGAAGAGAGAGAAAAGGCTGCTATGGAAACTGGAAACTGGATCCGTATTTAAAGGCAAAAAATGTGAGCCTGTACGTTTGTTCAAGTGTTGATTTCATGGCTAGATTTAGTAGGTCCCATGAAATCATCATTTTTGTCTTGCAAAGATCCATGCCATACAGGTTGTAGTTCGGT